AGAGTTATAGCCTTCAGTAAGAAAAGATTTCTTGTATCTGTCCTTGTGACAGCGGAGTTGTATCAGTCTGTTGGAGAAGCTGCTCCGCTGTTTGTCCAGTAGGGTGTGCAGAGGTGATCGGATTATCCATAATGGGTAACAGTTTGTTCAGAGTCCTCCTCTCTGTCACCACTACAAAAGAGTCCAGCTTGCAGCCTATCACAGAGCTGGCCTTCTTAATGAGTTTGTCCAGTCTCTTAGTGTCACCAGCTCCAATGCTGCTCCCCCAGCAGTCCACAGCAGAGAACAGCGCACTGGCCACAACAGACTGATAGAAGATCTCCAACATCTTGCTGCACACATTGAAGGCTCTCAGCTTCCTCAGAAGTGGAGTCGGCTCATCCCCTTCTTGTACACAGCCTGAGTGTTGGCCTTCCAGTTCAGTTTGTTGTCTATGTTGACACCCAGGTACTTGTACTCCTCCACCACAGACACATCCTCTCCCAGGATGCACAGCGGTTGTGGCTCTGTCCTCTTCCTTCTGAAGTCGATCACCATCTCCCTGGTCTTATCCACGTTCAGAATCAGGTGATTTCTTCCTGTCCACTCCACAAAGTTATCCACCAGCTCTCTGTACTCCCCCTCTTGCCCATCACTTATACACCCCACCACCGCAGAGTCATCAGAAAACTTCTGCAAGTGGCATGACCTGGAGTTGTATTTTATTAAAGGTGAAAAGGAAAGGAGACAGCACAGTACCCTGTGGAGCTCCTGTACTACTCTCCACCATTCCAGACTGAACACTGCCAAGTCGGACAAACTGTGGTCTGTCTGTCAGGTAGTCAGTAATCCAGGAGGTGATGGACGAGTCCATGCCCATTAACTGCAGCTTCTCTTCCAGCAGTTGTGGCTGGATGGTGTTGAACGCACTGGAGAAATCCAAAAAGGTGATTCTCACAGTGCAGTCGTTTCCCTCAGATGTGAGTGAGCACGCTGCAGCAGGTAAATGACGGCATCGTCCACTCCCAGGTGTGGCTGGTAGGCAAATTGTTGAGGGTCAAGGGATGGTTTCACCTGCGGCCTGAGGTGGGTCAAGACGAGCCTCTCCAACACTTTCATCACATGAGATGTGAGAGCCACTGGTCGATAGTCCTTGAGATCAGATGGTGTCGTCTTCTTTGGGACCGGGACCAAGCAGGATTTTTCCACAGCACCGGTATCCTCTCCTGGCTCAGACTCAGGTTGAAGAGGTGTTGCAGAATCTCAGACAACTGGCTGGCGCAGGTCTTCAGAACCCTTGGGCTGATGCCGTCCGGGCCTGGAGCCTTGCTGATGTTTAGTTTCTCCAGCTGTCCCTTCACCTGGTCAGTTGTTAGAGTCAGAGGGGGGATGGAGCAATTCCCCTCAGAGGGGGAAGTGCACTCCTGTGGTGCAGGGCCAGAGTCCAAAGAGTTCACCATGGGGGGTTGGGGAGGGAGAAAATACAAAGGGAGGCTGGGAGGTGTGAAGACAGGGGTGTTGTTTGAGGTGGGAGAGGCAGATGAAGGCTGTGAACTAAACCTGTTGAAGAACAGGTTTAGCTCATTGGCCCTCTCCAGGCTGCCAGAATGTTGTCTTTCTCTCCCCTTGAATCCAGTGATTTCCTCATTCCAGTCCACACATCCTCACGTTGTTCTGATGGAGTTTGGCCTCCGGCTTTCTCCTGTATGAGTCCTTGCACTCCCTCAGCTTTTCCCTCAGATCATACTGTATCCTCCTCAGCTCCTCCCTGTTTCCAGACCTGAAGGCTTGTTTCTTTTTGTTGAGAAGGGCTTTCAGGTCACTGGTGATCCAGGGTTTGTTGTTAGGAAAACAGCGTACAGTCCGGGCCGGTAGAGCAGTTTTTCACAGAATTGAATGTATTCTGTGATGCAGTCAGTCATGCTATAATGTCCAGTGTTTTATTTTCTCTAGTTGGACAGTTAACATATTGATGAAAAGTGGGTAGTGTTTTGTCCATTTTTACATGATTAAAGTCCCCGGTAATGGCTACAAAAGCATTTGGATGCTTAGTTTGAGGCTGTGAAACTGTTGAGTGAATGGCATCACTCGCAGACTCTGCATCAGCTGACGGTGGGATGTAAACACAGAACAATGGCGCACGTGAATTCCCTGGGCAGGTAATATGGGCGTATTCCAACAGCTAACAGTTCAATGTCCGGTTCGCAGAGACGTTCCTTCACACTAACATGGCCAGGATTACACCATCTTGTGTGTCTCTGTGATGATGTAGTCACGTGTTTATCATAAACTTAATAATTTCAGAATATGTCTTTGTTCTTAAAATAAAAGTTAGAATAATTATCGTTATTTTACCCCTGGGTTAACAAAAGGATAATAAATGGTTAATAAAGGGTTAATAAGGGTTAATAAAGGGTTAATAAGGGTTAGTAAAGGGTTATGTTAATGTGAACTCGGCAGCGCTGCAGGATTTGTTTTATTTACAGCGGGTAATAAATGATCGTCCATGACGGAGGCTTTTACAGCTGACCTTTAACAGATAACGGCGAGCTTCTGTGCCGAGCGTTCAACAACGACCACGTCGTCTCTACAATGAGAATATGTGTGTTTGTATCAACGCTACGTGTAGTTGAACAGAATCTCAATGTGAAGTAAAGAGTGGAGAAGAACATCCTGGAGAACAGGAAACATGCAGCAGCAGGTTGATTAGAGCACAGAGATGGTAGAGGTGGCGTGCAGACGGTCTATGGTCGTGCAGCGATCACACATTTTTTTGTATGTGCCGTTAATGGGTTAAAGAACTGGACTTGACTCGTCTCAGGTCGGGGATTAAGAAGATTAGCTCCTAGAAAAATGTCTAATATTTTAATCTCATCATGACATCATCCCCGTTTCTTTGTTCTTCAATCATTTTATATTATAACCGTCGTCCACCAATCACATTCCAGCGATATTTCAAACCTTGTTTTTCTCCCAGAGGTTTGGTGACATCACGGCCTCTTTGCTTTCTGAAGACTTGTGTGACTCGTATTACCGCCGCTCCAGAGCTCCGAGGCGGCGTGCTGGATAAAATCAACATGAGCTGGTTCTTATGGTCTTTGAGGTGTTGGAGTGGAATGAGCTGTGCTTTCTTCTTCCTGTTATCGGCCCAGCGAGTCCACATGTTCATGCTCCAGCTGGGATGATAACGATGGATCACCCCTCAGGAGCCCGCCCCTTTGACCTTCAAGGCTCGACCTTGCAGAGTTCAGCTCAAAGTTTTCACTCCTGTAGTTTGTTTCCAGAGACACAACAACGTTTCTACTGTTTCCTTTTTCTCAAGGACGAGCCGGTCCAACAGATAACACACACACACACACACACACACACACACACACACACACACACACACACACACAACACACACACACACACACACACACACACCCTTCCTCTGTAAAGACTCTGGGGAGTCCATACTGGGGAGTCGATTAACCCTTTCTCATCTGAGGTTTGGGGAGATGCTGAATTGTCCCTCAATAATCAAAAGAAGTGGATATGGAATCATTTATATTTCATTACTAGCTGGTCAAACGATGCAGGTACTTCATCCACAAAGACGTCTTTAATATACTTTATTACGTTTCCATATCAGGCGCTGAAGGCCATGTCCATCACAACAGACATGACAGGTGCTGTGAGTGAAGGGCTTTGAAAAGTTTCCTAAATGTTTCCAACATTTTAACTTTTATGGTGTGAGATGACACAGAGAGTTTTCATTGAACTCATTGCAGAGATCTGTTAGAGAGAACATATACAAGACTCTGCTAGAACCCAGTCTGGTACATTATTGGGTAACACTTTATAATAACCATCATCTATAAAGGGTAAATAGAGAGTTAATTAACTTTAGTTAAAAGTTATTTTACTGTTAACAAACAATGGAGAGATGGTCCTTAATGTTTGCTCATTATCTGTAATGCTATCATGTATGTTAACAGTTTATTATTTCAATCATTAAAACATGTTATACTCTTTATAAAGTGTGTGTTAATGATCTGTAAACCTTTAATAGATGGTTTATAAAACATGTATAAACATTACAGGGACACATGGACCAGATATTTGTAACATTTTTGTTCATGGTAAATAAATATTTTGTCTCTTTGTTAGCGCTCATGGCTCTGCTATGTTTCCTGCTAACAGTCTGTTCTGTCTCTTTGTTAGTGCTAACAAAGAGATCCATCTCCCTCAGGAGTTGGAGGGGGAAAAAAACAAGCTTAATCAGGAGAGAGATACATGCTCTAAATCTGCTAAATGTGAAAACGGTCTCTGCAGCTCGTTCTGTGGCTCCTTTCATGTCTTTAATATAACTCTGACATTTCTACACAGGAGGGAAAAGCTTGAGTTTAGAACATTTAATGAAAGTGTGCTCATATCATATTTCTCTCTGCTCCCACAGACGCTCCATCCAGCGGGAGGTCCAAGAATGGATATGTTTTCCAAGCGATGGGTGCGTAGCTGCACTAACATGTATCCTATTTACTCTCCACATGGCTCTGCTCTTTATTTTACACAATGTCAACAGTTTAACGGCCACTGGAAACATCATCCGTCAGTGTGAATGTTGCAGTCTTTCACATGATAATAGATCACAGCAGTTATTCATGCTAATGCTAATGCTCAAGGCTAACTGAAGACCCTTTCACATGCAAGTGAGCACAGCCAGTTGTGTTGTGAGGTTAATTAATGGGCAGATAACGAGGCAGAAGATCTCAGAGTCAAAGACGGATAGAAGGAATAACCATCGCTCAATGGTTTGCCCACAAAGGGTTAAGATCAAACTGAATATTAATCTCCTGTACAAAGAAGTTAGGGTCTGCTATTGTTCTGCTGCTGCATGTCTGCTTAGACGGAGTCTCTCATTGTGAGCTCGTCAACAGACGGCTGAGTGGTTAAATGAAGATGTCTCTGAGTGGAGACTTAATGTATCTACAGCTGAACCTCGATACACTGACTGAACAGTAAGAAGTTGAAATCAAAGAACTTAATGAGATTTATAACACGGTGACATTCATGTTTCATTCACAGATCTGCAGGATGGAGAACAGGAGGATTGTGGGAAAGATTCTCCAATCACCAACAAGGACCACATCTATGACAGCCAGCTCCAGATCAGTGTCTCCGGTATCTGTTTCATTTACAAATCAAAAAACAACATGAAGTGATCTGGCTTCACATCCGGTCGTTTCCTCATCTCATGACTTCTATTTTTGCAGAATAATCTGAAGCCTCTGCAAACAGGAAGTCATGTGTGCACGCTCTGATTTCCTGAACAAAGCTGAGCAGGCTGCTTGTTCCCCTTTATTAACAATGAAATTATTACCACAAGAGAGAGCTGATCCTTTGTTATTTCCAGGAGTAACACTAGAAGCAAAAGAACACAGTGCTGTTGGGTTTGGAATTAAATAAAGAGTCCAGACTGTTTGAATATCATATGGCTGATACACCTGAACAGTTTATCATAATAAAATGTTTATCTTTGCAGATGCTGATGACCCGGGGTTCGGCCTTTTAAACACGACAAGAAAAGTAAGACTTGTTTCCCTCTGTGTGTGTTAAACCAACTCTTCTACCGACTTGTAATTGATTTAGTTGGTGAGTTTTGCTGGGCAACATTCATCACTTACATCACACACTAATGGAACCGCCCACCTGGCGAGCAAGAAAAGCCTTCTACTGCTGCACGAATCAGAATTAGAATCTGGGTTTATTGCCAAGTACATTTACACATACAAGGAATTTGACTTGGTGTATTGGTGCTACACAATTAACAAGGAAATAAAACAGAACTAGCAACAACTTAAATAATACAGAACAAGAAGATATTACAAAATATAAAATAGAATTTACAAATGTAAAATATAAAAAATAAAAAACACAAAATGTACAAAAGGTGAAACGTAGGAGCTGTGCAGTGGACTATGAGAAAAAAAAACTATTCACAGAGTGCATTTAAGGAAGATACATTTTTAAAGTCCAGTAGAGTTAGAAAGTAAACCAGAGACGAGGAATTCCTGGATGAATGTTGTTAGACGCTCTGCGGTCCCAGAGAGGAAACAAAGAACAGACTTCAGATTGTGTTCACTTGATCTAAATGTTCCTGACTTTAACAACAACAAAGCCTCATAACTCAGCATCGTGATCCTGATATCATTGTTCGCTAACGTTAATCAAACACACATGAAAGTGTCTGTACGTCTGTAGACGGTCATCGTGGAGATGCAAGAGGGAGGATTCTCCTCTAGATATCTGTAGACATCAGTGAGGTGAAGTTCTGCTGAGACTGAGCATATTGTCCCGCCTTCTGTATGAGGGTCACACGTGTCCAAAACTCTCAGTTTACCTTCATATCTCTGTTTCTCTGTAACCCTAACCCTAACCCGTCAGGGGATGTAGACATGCATCGTTCAGAGGAAATTAAGAAGATCTCACCATGTGACACTAAACTGTCAATCACACCTCCTTTGTTCTTGGCGTTCACCAGTATGTGAAGCCGATGAACTTCCAGGAGGAGGTGCGTGCCCACAGGGACCTGGACAGCTTCCTGGCCCAGGCGAGCATCCTTCTGGATGAGAAAGCTGCCACTCTGGACGAGGTCCTGAGGCGGATGCTGAGTCGTGTGGCGGAGGACAGTCATGAGAGTTGTAACGAGGACGAGGTCATGAACTCTCTGTTCACTGACGCAGGAGGAAAGGAGTGTAACGGTGAGTGAAACATGTCACTCTCTGAACCACTTTTAAGGTGCTTTAAAGGCTGCTGGACTTGTTTACATTATTTTATGCTCCCTCAGTTCACCTTCTGTCTGAGACCATTCAGGGCGTGACTTCCACTTCCACTGGCGTTCGTTATCAGCAGTCCTGGCTCTGTATTCTGTGAGTTCATCTACAATCATGTTCATGTGAAAAGCTTCTGTGTGGACTCATTCTTCCTGCTCAGCAGAGTAAACGTTGTCGTTTCTGACTTCAGCTCCAATGTGAGGAGTCTGCAGAGACGTCATGTCTGCATCGCCCGTCTGGAGAGGACGCAGAACTGGGGCGTCAACTGCTGTGAGGCTCGCTACGTGATCCTCATCTTGGCCCCGCCCAGAACGGTGACATCAACTTTTCTGTCTATATATATATAGCTGTCTGTATATATGTGTGTGTGTGTGTGTGTGTGTGTGTGTGTGTGTGTGTGTGTATGTGTGTGTGTGTGTGTGTGTGTATATATGAGTTTTGGTCACCCTTAAATGCACAGTATGTAAAATATTTCGCCAGGGGCTCTCAATCAAAACAATAACAAAAGATGACGTCGAGGCTACAGGGCAATCATGGGAGTGATTCTCCCCACTCCCCATACAAAATGCAAGTACTCAACAATAAAATATATATAGCATGGGTTTAGTCAATTTTAAAGTAATCTACATATTATACCTTTAAAATCCAGGTGCCTTGCTCAAGGGCACCTCGGCAGTGCTCAGGAGGTGATCTGGCACCTCTCCAGCTACCAGACCAACTTCCAGATTTGGTCTGCACCAGGGATTGGACCGGCGACCCTCCGTTTCCCAACCCAAGTCCCTACAGACTGAGCTACTGCCGCCCCTATGTTGTTGTTTCAACGTATTCAATCTGCTCTTAGTTGTCTGAACCTTCGTTTATTAGACTTTATGACTTTATTAGCCTGAAGTCGAAGCAACATGATGCCAGAGCCTTTCATTACCACCTGTCTGATATCCAGGTCCTGAAACTGTCCCTGTTCAGATTCATTTGAACCGTTTGATAAAATAGAAGTGATTTCAGTCATTTTAAGGGAAAATGAATCACATCCACGTGTAAATGTCCTTTATGATATCAAGCTGGTTCATGTTGTGTGCACAGGGAAACTGCAGGGCCGTCTGTAGTGACAATAATAATCAATGATGATCAGGTGTCTCTAAGACGCCACACAGGGACATTTCTGGCTTCATCCCTTTTAATGTTGTTCTGTAAGATGATTGCATTTCAAACCTCCATTCAAGTCTTTATGAATTTAAATATCAGAATCGGGGTTTATTGCCAAGTGCATTTAGACATACAAGGAATCTGACTTGGTGTATTGGTGCTAAACAATTAACAAGGAAATAAAGCAGCCGAGCATGTGACCTCATGTGATCGTTGGTAGAAAACACGGGGAACTCACATGTTTGTTTTTTTTCTGAGGGTTCGCTGCTACAGGAGATGAAATCAGATAAAAACATGAGTCAGCATGATGTAGGTGAAAATGAAATCCACATTCACAGATTCCTTGAACTCAACATGTCCGACTTTGTCAACATCCTTTGCAGAAAAGCACCAAGACGGCGATCGAACTGGGCAGAACATTTTCCACGATGTTCTCCGACATTTCCTTCAGACAGAAGCTTCTGGAAGCCAAGACTCAGGACGAGTTCAAACAGGAGCTGGTGTTCCAGCGACAGCAGCTCTCCGCCGCCAACGACAAGCCGGTTGTAGAGGAAGTGGAGGACTCGGATCCCCGAAGAGGGAAACCAATTGAGGTGGGAAAGACGTCAATGTGATTGATAAGAGGTTCACAACAAATATACAGAAACAAATCTCACTCATAGTTTGGGCTTGTAAAACCAACATTGATATGTTCTGCTTGCTGTTGGATCCGTCCACATGTGGACCTCATGTTGTTCCAACAGGCACATAAAGATGTGATGCATTCAGGGAAAATACTTGAGCCAGATTATCTGATAATCCTGTTTCCACACTCCACCGGCCCGGGCCTGAGGAATGACCAGCAGCTGGGCAACAGATCGCAAAGCTTCCTGGCAGCAGAATGTGTGCAGCTCCATGTAATGATGGACTGCTTCATTAAGTCCAGTGTTTAAATGAAGAGGAGACGAGTGCACCCAGCAGGAGGCTGGAACAGAGAGAGAGAAAGTTAATTTTGTAAAAGAGCAAAGGTGAGCAACAGGAGGAGGCTTCAGCGGCTGATACCCTGAACGCTTTAACTAACAACATGTCCTTATAACTTATTGGGCAATCCCAAACCAGAACAGTACCAAACCAGACTGTGCAGCACTATGAAAGACCGCTTTGTCCCGGCCGTCAGCGAAGCTCAGTGTTAGCACAGCAAGGTGCTAAACCAGGGCGGGTGGGCACTTTGTTAGCCTCCCCATCACTCTGCTGTTTAAATGCTATTTTGCTGCTGTCTTTAAAGTCTTTCTATGTGATTTTTCACACTTAAATGTAGAAATCAAGTTTATCCTCTGAAAATAACTCTGTGAGTCATGACTCACACTGAGTCCCACTGTCTGTGATGTTTTCAGAGTCCTATCTTCACTTTGTTTACATCGCCCGGACGGCCGGCTGACTCCTCCCCTCGTGTATAAAAGTTGTTTAATTGAGGGACTAGAGAAAAGAAGAATAAAATACTGTACTCACTGCTTAACTGTGTTTCTAGATCACGCTCATTTCAGGTAAATTTACATGCAGTGTGAAGATACCAGCATAATAAAGATCACTAGCATTAGCATGCTAACACAACAATGCAGCGCCAGTTGTTTTGGTTTCATGCTGGTGCTCAAGGGCGACACCTGCTGGATCAAAAAATCACATATAAAGTCTTTAAGTTTGAATTCCCCAGAATGCAGTTATAATCTGTACTTCAGCCAAAGAGGCATTAAAGATTACTCAAACACTTTTATAACACTCATTAGTCTGAAGCGTTGGTGCAGTCCCCGAGCCTGTCGTCTCAGGACAGAGGCTGCAGTTTCCTAAGAAAGGGTTAATGACTGATGATGACTCGATCCTTACTTCAGCACGATGATGAAATCAGGACCAGAACACTTTCTAAACTGCACGTGTCTGATCATCAACACCCCCCCCCCCCCCCCCCGATTGACCTCGTGCAGCGCGGAGCGAGCAGTTCCCCGCTCTTTGATCACATGTGGAGCTCTGTAACAATTAGCTCTCTGTGGATTTGTTGCTCCTGCTCCTCATGATTTGGTCTTTCA